ACCTTTTTTTCGTTTAACAAATAAAGTTAGATATGCAAAAAAAAAAAAAAAAAAGAAAAGAAAACAATTCTATGAAATGAATTGGTTTATTCATTTTTAATAAATTCCTTAGCAAAATTTTAATTAAATGCATATGTAGCTATGAAAGATGGAAAGTTTTTTCCCTCATTTTCATTAAATAAAAAAAAAAAAAATAACGACTATACCTAACATAGCTATATCATACATACATAATTAAATATATTGAAATAAACCGTTCCATAATCATAATTTATTCAATAATTGATTAAAACAATTTCATTTGTGTAATAAAAAAAAAAATGGAAATATTTTATTGTAGCTTTTCCACTAATTAAAACTATAATAGGTAAATGTTAATTTAAGAATTTCGCAAAATTTAGAAATGTTAACGCATATTTGCAACCATTAATATTGGTAATTCATTTAACTAAACGATGGTCGCATGCATATTACATAATTAGCCTATTTACTTGCTTCAAAGTAATCGGCTTATATACTTTAGCATCCTTTGCTATTGCAGATGAGAGATGGGGAAAGAAAAAAACAAAACTTATGTTTACATTTTGAAATTTCAAAAAATACATATATATATATTTTTTGAAAATATATTTCTCGAAAAATTTCTAACATTATATTAATAATTTAACGCAAAACTTTGCTTTGTAGAATTTACTTCACGAAAAAGCAATTTAAAATTGGAAAGAAAAACTCGTAGGGAATAAAATATTAATGTATTGGATAAATGAGTAATATAAGATTTACCCAATGAAAATGAAAATGACAAAGAAATGATGAAAAAACTTGTGTACAAAAATTTTTGTGATGTAAATATATATATATAGATAGATAGATAGAAGGAGAAAGACATGAAGAGAAAGAAGAAAAAGAAGAAGTTTTATTTTTTTTTTTCTGAAGCATTTCTTGTTATAAGTTAATGTAAAACTTTTTTCTCACAGAATTTATTTTGCGGAAAAAAGTGATTTAAAAAAAAAATTTTTGACAATTTATGCTTGGGTATTTGAATTTCAAAAGATTGAATTGATTAAATTCTAGAAAAATAGTTTGAAATTTTCGATTAGTAAATGTAAACAAGGAGAAAAGATGATGATTGGGAAGTATTTTTAGAATCAAATATTTCATAACGATAGTTATGAAATACTTGACTTTTCGAAAATATGGCTGCTTCTACTTCTTTGCGTTTCAGAGGGAAAGCTTGCGCGTATTGGTGATTTTTTTTGGTTGCTTTCCTGGACAAGGTTCCCTGTTATCGGCAGTTTGTTCGCTGGGTTGGCTTTTCGATTTGCCTGATATTCACTAATTAGCTTAATTAACTGGTGTCCTTTCTGATGTTATTTTAAGTATTATCAAGTGGTATCAGCAATGAATGTTCAGTATGGGAAACAGGTCGACAGTTATTAACTCGTAAAAGGGAGTATAATTTGATCCGGAAAGATAATCCAGACTTTTAACGGATTAGTTTGACATGTGGTATTGTTTGAGCGTGTTTGGAATAATTGTTTTTCAAATGACTACTCTCCTTTAGTTCACATTAAGCACTAGATAATTGCTTCATTTGATACATCTTTTAGGTAACTATGGTTGGATGAATCAATACTTTGATATTGCATGCAAGTAAGTAATTGTTGTGTAGCGATATGCAAGGGTATACTTCTTATATTATATGAAGACGTGTCAAGAAATGTTCCAACTTAGTCCGTGAACTATGCTTCAATTTTCTTTTCCTTTACAGCACTGCTGTTGTTAAATGTTTTAGATGGTATCTTTAGATGGTATGTTACTTGGTGCACGTAGAAATTACGATCTCGTTTCTTTACCTTTTTTGTTCCTGGAACTCGGTGTCATGCGAAATTTCCAGGTCTAATGAACAGTTCCCAAGAGAGTGCAGGTATTGTTCGTATGTCACATTTGAAGCAACTGGTTCTAAGCGGTGATGATGGCACATCAACTTCTGAGCCAGATGTGGTATACCTTATAAGGTCTTAGAAAGTAGTGCCGAGGGTCTGGACTTTTTCGTTTTGGTGATTTGGATTTGTTTGTTAGCAGGAATTGTTGGGAATGCCAGGTAAATGCGAATAATGACGAATCATCGAATAAACATGTACACATAAGCATATATGGATAACTTGTTTAATAGTAATAAAATGTACTTAGATACGGGCGATAATTTGCTTGTTCTCTAAACAAATTCAATTTCGATCAACTGTTTATAATATCTGTTATAATTTAGTGAACATCTGATATGTTCTATGATGTTCAAATTCCATTTCAACTCCGTTAGGTCTTCTTATATACATTTTAATAAATAAAGTTTTCTTTTCTTTTGTTTTTCTTTCTGACGGTAAATTAACATGAAACAGTGGTAATGTTCAGCATTAAGAAGAGAAGTGAGTTTTAAAGGAGAAGCAAATGTATATAAGTAGAGGGAGAAATCTATGAAAATCTGTGAAATTTAAATGATGGATGTCCAGTCCGAAATTTTTTAGGAAAAAGATCATGACAGTTTAAACAGTATGCTTGCTAAAAGTGTGCCTGATACACCGTTGGGACAAGCTGTGACAAATTTACATGCATCCTGGGCGCAACTAATCAGTGATTTATCAGCACGAACAGGTTATTTACCTCCGACGCTGGAGCATATTAAAGAAGTTGCAGAGTGCGCAGTTCGTCAGGTTGCTTCCATTCGAATTTCGTTCTTTGGCTCACTGCCATTTCATATTGCTTTTGTAAATCACGATTCTTTTGCTTCATATCATGTTAATTCCTTTCATTTTATCATTCTCTCTTTGTAGTTATAGCTTTTTCTTTCAGTGATTGCCACATCATGTTTATTATCATAGTTTGTGTTATTATCATGCGTTCTATTCACTAAAGAGATCTTGACTTTTTATTTGTCATTAAGTATTTTAATTTTTCAGTTGAAGGATT